GATTTTGATCACACATGTTTCCGTTAAATAACCTGGTACATATTTCAAAAAGTCCTTTGTTTTTATATTGGTATCATATTATACCTCAATTTCTCTCTAGGTCGACAGCTTTGGTAATCGTGGCATTTACAACATCTGGAGACCTGAGGATTCTGCTGGAGGAGCTGTCGCTGAAGCCCTCCCCACCTCGCCAGTGGATAGGCAGCGAGTCCTGGGTAACTGACCCAGACATGCTGCAGTTCCGTTTCTGCGCTGGAGCAATCGGATTTGGCATTGAGCGATCCGTCATCCCAGGTCTGAGAGACTTCCTGCTGGATCTCCCTCCATCTGAAGTGTCTGCCTCTCCGGTGCTGACTGAGTTCTGGGAGGAACAATTCAACTGCAGGCTGGAAAAAAGTGGGTTGAATTAAATTTAATACAACATAAAAGACAAAGTTGGACCCTTCGGTGTGTTCTGCTATGTTTTTTATAGTCCAGTTCAAACTGTCAGTGAAAATGTTAACAGTTATTTTCATGCAAACCCCTTGATTACTATGGAGATATCTTGAACACATGTTGAACAACGACATACGTTCATTTCATAATAATCTATTACTGTCAAGACTATGAAATGCTGTGTTTTCAGGATCAGCTATGGACAAGAATGTGTGTGATGGAACTGAAGACATAAACAAAATCCACAGCCCGTACACTGACACATCTCAGCTTCGAATCACTAACATGGTGTACAAGGCTGTTTATGCTATAGCACATGCCATTCACAACGCAGTGTGTCAGGAAACATATTATATAACCCAGTGCAACAAACTCACCAGCATAGAGATCGAACAGGTGTGTAAAAAAAATACATGAATATCCTATTGTCCTTTTTACCTACAGTACAACTTGAAATGCAAGTCTCATCCTTTCCATTCACAGGTTCTTACACGACTGAAACATGTGAATATTTCACAAAATGGTTACGAAGTGTCATTTGACGTCAACGGGGATCCTGTGGCCACGTACGAACTGGTGAACTGGCAAAACACTGAGACTGGCAGCATTGAGTTGGTGACAGTAGGACACTACGATGCATCACTGCCTGCGGGCCAGGAGCTCCGTGTCAACAAAAGCCTCACCTGGGTGGAAGGTGGTACACAAGTAGGGAGATAAACATTTCTTTTAAACATTCAAATATGAACTGATATTAAACAATATGATATATGGAAAACATTTTTAATGTCACTGCAGTTGTTACCCCTGCAGGGAAGACTGTCTCCTTAATCCGCTTTCAATATAATTTTTGGCATGTTATAGTTGGACATTTTACTAGAAAATTCCTTCTTTATATTTTCCTACAAAGTGTGGAAAAATACTTACTTTTGAAGACAACTTGTACTGAATTATGAAAATTGAATCCTATTTGTATAGGTTAAGTCCTCTACGGGGATCCATACTCTCCACACTCTCCCCAAATCACAACACCACATACACCAAATCGTCCTTCGCATTGACATAGCTGGATAATGAGGACATGCCTGGATACATGCGGAGCCCACACAGCAACACAAATGCCTTTTTCATGAAGGCTTTGACTTAGGATTACAATACCATGTATGACTTTGTTTATATCTATGTGCCAGGTGCCTGTGTCAGTGTGCACCGTCAGCTGTCCTGCAGGAACTCGTAAAGTGCTGCAGAAAGGAAAACCCATCTGCTGTTTTGATTGTATACCCTGTCCTGAGGGAGAGATCAGCAATGCCACAGGTATACTGTCTTTGTGACGGTAGATTAGATGAACGCTGGCACATGTCAGCGGCCGTTCTGTTTCTGATCGTAGCGTTCTGCTTCATAATAAATGTTTAAACTAGTGCTGTCAGGTAAACAGACCCATTTTAACCTTCTCAATTTTTTTCACGAGAGATTAACTTTTTTTTATGTTGTTACCCAGCTACTTGATCCTTTTTGAGGGACAGTTCTACAAATGTCACTCATATAACATGTAGAAAAGAAAACAAATCCAGCACCCCTCCTTCATCTTGTAGTAAAAACTCACCCCAGCATACCAACATATGATCGTATATTAAATTAATTTACAGGACAGAGAGCCGGACTATGAGAGTTTTCTGTAGCTGTAACCTTCCATAGTGCTTACTCTGAAACACATCCGAGACTCACATTTTCAAATCTATAATCTATCCTCATTTGTAATTTAATGCTACTAATGATGTACTTTTCTCTACATAACTTTTCTAAAAAAAAAAGTCCTTCTCTGAAAAGCAAACTATGAATAAAATGTGTTATTAACATTACTACACAACAACATTAGTACACAACATTGACTAGACTAAATACTAAATAACCTCTTTTTATTTTTTTAGATTCCCCAGATTGCTTCATTTGCCCCAAGGAATTCTGGCCTAATGCGAAGAGAAACAATTGTCTCCCCAAACCTGTAGAGTTTCTTTCCTTCAACGAGGGCCTTGGGATCATCCTGTGTGTATTCTCAGTTGGAGGTGCCTGTCTTGCCGTCCTAACAGCGGCTGTGTTCCACCGTCATAGGACATCCCCGATTGTCAGGGCCAACAACTCTGAGCTGAGCTTCCTGCTGCTCTTCTCTCTGACTCTGTGTTTCTTGTGCTCATTAACTTTCATTGGAGCCCCCTCTGACTGGTCCTGCATGCTACGCCACACAGCATTTGGGATCACCTTCGTCCTCTGTATGTCTTGTGTTCTTGGAAAAACGATAGTCGTGTTAATGGCGTTCAAAGCCACTCTCCCGGGTCGTAATGTCATGAAATGGTTTGGTCCTCCACAGCAAAGAATGACCGTAGTGTCTTTTACCTTTATTCAAGTCGTAATATGTACCCTTTGGTTGGTTCTTAGTCCTCCTTTTCCAAGGAAAAACCTAACCACGTACAAGGAGAAAATCATCCTGGAGTGTGCACTGGGCTCAACTATTGGGTTCTGGGCGGTGCTCGGGTACATTGGCCTGCTGGCTGTCTTTTGCTTTGTGCTAGCTGTCCTAGCCCGGAAACTACCTGATAGTTTTAATGAAGCCAAGCTGATCACGTTCAGCATGCTGATATTCTGTGCAGTCTGGGTCACCTTTATCCCAGCATATGTCAGCTCTCCTGGTAAATTTACTGTGGCTGTGGAGATATTTGCCATTCTGGCCTCCAGTTTTGGACTCATGTTGTGCCTATTTGCTCCAAAGTGTTTCATTATATTGTTTAAACCAGAGAAAAACACCAAGAAGCATTTAATGAACAAAAACGCATCCTAACACAGTATGAAAAATAGTTAAAAATACATTATAAGGCAAATCACTATATGTACATTTGTTCTTCGCCTTATTGATTATAACATTTAAGATGGAGTAATGTAGCTTTACTGTGTTATTATCATCTTTCAAAGGCTGAACTATGAAGTAAAGTAAATAAACAAAGTCACAACAACAGAGTTGTATTCCTTAACGTTCTTATAAAATAAGTGCTATTTTAACAATTGGCCTGTACTTACAATATTTAAGCCCACATTCAACCACTATTGCAATGTGTTGTTTTGTTAAATTTAACTGTATTAAGTTTAGGATGAAATTAGGATGATGTCTTGTAAAACAAGGCAGAGAAAATAATATTGCACATGCAGCCCAGAGGAAGTATTTTGTCCAAAAAATCTAAACCAGTGGAAACCCAGAATGTCTACATGCAGAAGGTCGAGGGATTGTGATCGTAGATCTGTATAGGTCTATTACTTGGATTTGTGCGAGCTCATCCTTCTTGCCATTTATGATTTTGGCAAGAAATGACCCTGGACACATTGTAGTAATTCATCAAAGGCATTTACCAGATTACACACAACCTTATCCTGTACTCTGGCTTACACGTCCAACTCTGTATTCACAGGGTGAAGGGTAAAGCACCCTGCCCGACCCAGAGTTCATCCCCAGATAATGCAAATCTACACTAAAATGTTTTATTTCAGAAATATTTCCTTGCCTGAGGAAAGAAATGCATTTTTAAAATAATGTTGTATTTCCACAGATGGTTTCGATCCAGGCTTCATATTGCTTCGCCTCTATCCAATTCTGCCTCACCATCTGTTACCTTAAATGTTTTTCAGACTTTAGGTCAATCATAATCGGAAATTATATTAGACATTTTCCATTTTGTTATTTTAATAAATCCATATTACTTCAACCAAATTTGATAAATATGTAAAGTAAGATGTAACGTTGATTTTTTCATTTTTTAAATTCCTGCCTCCCCCATTAGTTCAAATCATGTGACTTTCACTAGATTGAGCCAAGTCAGATCTAAAGGGTCAGGCAGCATGGAGTTAATAGATATTAGGCTGCACGTATTGTTGTCCCTTCTGTTTCATTGCAATTTATCGTGATTGGTTGATCTCGGGATGACTCATGAGACCCATGAAATGAAGCAAGCATCTTAGTTTTTATATAATCTTCTTCATCCCCCTTTCAGAGAATATGTTTGCCAGCCGTCGTCTCTGGTAAACATCTTTGGGTTTGTAACGACATTGCACTATACCATTGTTATGGTTTCTCCCTGGCTAATTCTTTGGGCCTTATTTAGCCTTGTTTTTCGAGTGTTATCTGATGTGAAAGCAAGAGAAGAACCAGTTTTAGAGAGGAGCGTGCTGGGGGATAGGGAGGAGGGAGTGAGTGGGGTCGGTTCAAGTTTATCTCCCTGTTTGAAACTATCAAACGGTGAGCCTCTGGCCCTGCAGTCGGGTGGGGATGTTGTGATTGGAGGACTTTTCCCTCTGCATTACATGGCTTCCAGGCCAGAGCAAAGCTATCTCAGCGAACCTCAGTTCACACCTTGCAGAGGGTAAGCGTGAGAATGATGTTGCTATTTTATATAATCCAACATGTTTTACATTTTTCTTAATTGTTTTCTTTTTTACACAAAATAATGATCATATTTGCCTCTTGTTGTGATTAGATCTTAATGCTCGTACATATTTTACACATGTCAGGATGAATTACCTGCATTCAATTCTATTTAATCGTCTGCAGCTTTGACCACAGAGCCTTCCGCTGGATGATGACGATGGTGTTTGCAGTGGAGGAAATAAATCGTAATTCTAGCTTGTTACCAGGTGTTAAACTGGGCTATAGGATTATGGACAGCTGTGACCAGGTCCACACCAGCCTAAAGGCTATTTTGTCTTTAGTCAGTCCATCTAAAGCTGTGATGAGTGAGATTAAACAAATAAAAGAAAATGCAAAAATACTCGATAAATCAAGGGACAGGATTACTGGATCGAAGGGGGTGAAAAGAGAAGAAAATACGATAAAGGAACGCACTCAAAGTATAGTGAAAAATGAAGGCTCGGAAATTCTTGGAGAAATGACTCACGGTCTTGAAAATTCTGGAAATAATGAAAAGGAAACAGGGGAGACAACAGATAGAAATAAACAATCACCATCCTTACCTTCATGTCTGGCTGATTCTCCTGTGTCAGCTGTGGTTGGTCTTGCATCATCTTCCCCCACAAGAGCTGTGGCTCACACCCTTGGCCCATTCAACCTGCCACTGGTAAGAGAGGAATGAAACATGCACGCCACTTCATTCTCACATAGACTTTCTACCATGTTTTTACTGATAAATCCAAAAACTACATTTGATAGGTTTTGTCAAGGTTACGTTATCTCACTACTGTTAACTTTATCTCCCACACAGGTGAGTTATTTTGCTACTTGCACATGTCTTAGCGACAAGCACATGTACCCGTCATTCTTGCGGACTGTGCCGAGTGACATATTTCAAGTTAAAGGCCTTGTCCAGCTAGTGACCTTCTTGGGCTGGTTCTGGGTGGGCACAATAGGGACCACGGTGAGCTAAACAATATATCTGATTACCCCACCGTTAGATGAACAAACCAATATGATTAACAAAACGTCTTCATATATTTCAGGATGACTACAGTCAATATGGTATCCAAGAATTTTCCAACCAGTTTCGACAACAAGGTGGGTGTGTGGCATTTCATCTGACCATCCCGAAAACACCCACAGCTGCTGAGACACAAGAAATGGCCGACAGGCTGCAGGGTTCTACCGCTGTGGTAGTGGTGGTGTTTGCAACGGAGGGACAACTTATGGACCTGGTCTTAGAGGTGAGAACTCCCTTTTAGGTGTTGTCAACCTTTCGTCTGGCCGAATAGTTGTGTGACACTGGCCGGTGTTTTGTTAAAAGAAAAAACTTCAACTGTTGTTAATCGCGTTCATCTGGCTTATTTTAAGTATGCCTTATTTTTCAGCTGGCTAAAAGAAATGTGACAGGAATCCAGTGGATAGCTAGTGAAGCCTGGGTAACCGCACGCCTGCTGACCTCACCCCGCTTCCACCCTCTCCTGGAGGGCACGCTGGGCTTCTCCTTCCCTGGAGTCCGGATCCCCGCCTTGAAAGAGTTTCTGTTAAATCTGCGCCCTTCTCCCGAATCTGGGATGGAATTTGTCAACATGTTCTGGGAAGAGCTGTTCAGCTGCAGGCTAAAGTTTAGTGGAAACAAGTCTGAAGAAAATGAAGCAGATACCATAGATAACTTTATGGGATTGGATGCTTTTGATGACAAAAAGGACTCTCATCCTGCGTCCTTGGTCAGGCCTCTTGTAGGAAAGCACAGCAAGTTCGAGGGATCAGCTGCTGAAAACTACAGCCGTGCTGCTGAAAAGCCTGTTTGCACCGGTTCAGAGGATCTGAGTTACATTCACAGCACTTTTACTGATGTATCTCGGGTCAGAGTATCCTATAATGTTTATAAAGCTGTGTACGCCATTGCCCATGCTCTTCACACTTTATTAAACTGTGATTCCGCCAAAAATTACGGAATGTGTGAAAATCATAAATCATTCACTTCTGGCCAGGCAAGTGGAGCCACTACAAAATAATCAGCAAATCAATTCTTAAATAGTTCTATACTCGTTATTTTCGTTTTGTATGCTCCTTTCATACAGTTACTGCATCATCTGAAGACAGTGAATTTCACCAACCAGTTTGAGGAGAGTTTTTTTTTTTACCCCAACGGAGAGCCGGTCCCTCTCTATGACATCATTAACTGGCAGAAGGACAGCGAGGGTGAAATTAGGTGCAATGTTATACTTTATAATTGTGCTTTTGATTAGAGTCATCATATTCATTAAGAACTATAAAATATAGAGATATACTACATTACATATACTATCAATCAATATTGATGATTTTAATGCTAAACTTAAATAATGACACATCCCTGCTTGCGTTAACCCAAACATCTTTTATAATTATAAATTCAGTAGTTTTGCTGACTAAATCTAGACCAGTAGTTTTGTTGTTGGGTTTCTTGTGAAGACAGATTATCTTGCAAAGATTGTACACATGTAACGAGCGGAAATCGACACGTGTTGCAGGCTTTCTTAGGACAACACACGGAGTAACATTTTGTGAGATATCATACCATACCTACTAGAAGGAGGAATTGTTGTTTTTGTAGCATTTAGATGAGTTGGGGGAAATTAACTGTTAATATATTTGTTTGCCCTGATTTTAAAATGATTTTATGCTGTTTTTAGATTTATAAAAGTGGGAAGCTATGATGGTTCTGCTCCATTGAAAAAACAATTGCAGCTAGAGCACAGCACCATTGTGTGGACAAGAGGACAGTCTCAGGTGGGTAATTGCTTTCTCTTTACAGGATAAGACATTTTAGATATTGACTACTGATTAAAGTAGCCGTTTTCTTCACTAAAAACATTTTCCTCCACGAAGCATCTGACCTGCGGTAAAAGCAAATCTTGTTGTGGTTAAAAATCTTTATTTCTTCAGGCGCCCGCGTCTCAGTGTAGTTCTCCATGCTCCCCTGGCAGCAGACAGGCCAGACGTCCAGCAGAGCCGCCCTGCTGCTTTGATTGTTTGCCCTGTGCAGAAGGAGAAATCAGCAACCAGACTGGTGGCCCATCCATGTTTTTCGTATTCATACAATTTCTAAATTCAGTCAGGCAAAGGCTATTAATCTCTTTAAAGAATACTGTATAAATGCAAACGGTTATGTGGAGTTTGATTTTGTGTGTGTTTACGCAGTGTGTCCTTTTTATCTGTCTCTAAAAGGTTCCACTGAGTGCACAAAATGTGCTGAATACTACTGGCCAGACAAAGACAATGTGAAATGCGTGGCTGGGGTCGAAGAATTCCTGTCCTTCCACGACATCATGGGCATCATCCTGGTCACACTCACCCTGCTGGGCGTCGTCCTGACAACCTTTGTAACGGCTGTCTTTCAACGGTTCCGCTCCACCCCGATCGTCAGGGCAAACAACTCAGAAATAAGTTTCCTGCTTCTCCTGTCACTCAAGCTGTGCTTCTTGTGTTCTCTGGTGTTCATTGGCCAGCCATCTGTGTGGACGTGTAGGCTCCGCCAGGCAGCATTTGGGATTAGCTTTGTCCTCTGTCTCTCCTGCCTACTTGTTAAGACCATAGTTGTCCTCTTGGCCTTCCGTGCTAATGCACCCGGTTCAAGGGCCCTGAAGCAGTTTGGTCGCTGTCAACAGCGGACGTTGGTCATCTGCACCACAGCTCCTCAGGTAGGAGACCTTTACAACCGCCGCAGATTTTACCTCGAGCGATGACCTTTCACATTTTCTGAGTGTTTTTAATTAATGCCTTTTCTTTCTATTTTTCCCGCAGATTTGTCTCAGTGCTGCTTGTCTATTGTGTGCACCTCCCTTCCCGTTCAAGAATCCAAACTACCAAGCCACAACTGGAAAAGTAAGTATGTGTGCCTCGGTGTCTTTTTTGATACTCTCACAAGGAGAACCGAAAGTTAGACTTGTTTAAATCCCACCTACACATACAGGCTTCATTGTTTGTGTTTGTGATCGTAACAAAACCATAGATAATCATTTTAAAGGCGATTAAAATTCATTATACTTGGCGTTGATTGTTGATTGACAGATTGTTGTGGAGTGTAATGAGCCATGGCCTCCTGGATTCTATCTGGTACTGGGCTACATTGGTTTACTGGCTTTTGTCTGCCTCATCCTGGCGTTCCTTGGACGGAAGCTCCCGGATACCTTCAATGAGGCAAAACTCATCACCTTCAGCATGCTGATCTTCTGGGCTGTGTGGATCTCTTTCATTCCAGCTTATGTCAGCTCTCCTGGGAAGTTCACTGTGGCTGTGGAAGTATTTGCTATATTAGCCTCAAGTTTTGGACTCTTGCTATGTATTTTTGTGCCAAAATGTTACATAATACTGCTGAAGCCTGAAAGAAACATTAAGAAAGGAATGACAGGAAAATATTTCACATAAAGTTGTAGGTGGTCCTTTTAATAGCAAACAAAAGTTTTTTATCAAGAAATCATGCAAATACATTTGAATGTGAACAAATATTCCCGGTTTTTGTGTTCTACCTGATGCCTTACATACAGTATTATAAGGGTATATATAGAATATTAGAAATTTGGTGCTTTGAAGCCTATTACATAAGGTGTTGAATAATGGATTCTGGGGCTTTTCTGTTTCCAATCGAATGAAACACCTAGTCTATTCAATTCACTGAATTCTGAATTCACAGAATGCATTGTAGGGTTAAGGGGTAACGTGGCACAAAGCCCGTGTGACTAAAAGAGTAGATGAAGATATTGGAATCCCTGCTCTACTAGCAAAGGCAGACATCACTGCGAGCTGCCCAATAATAAACTGCAAGGTCTGCACGTGTGTATGTGCACATTTTAACTTGGTGTGCTAAAACACATTTTCAGTTCAATATTGAAACCTTATTAGTGGAAAAGGGCCTTCAAAAGCTTTAAAAAACACAATTAAATAAATTTTGCATCAGATCATGCAGTCAATGTATTTTGAATAAACTGTAAAATTCACTCCAAACATTTAATAAACAACTAAAAATATTTGCACAAAACACTGTATGATATTATACATAAATACAAATTGCAAATGCCTGAAAAGGAAAAATCCTCAAACTTAAGTTAACAGGTACAACAAGGCAGCAGATAGGGCCAGTGTTCGGCCCAAAAAACCCACCTGACACTCCTTAGAATAGTCACCACTACATATCTTTATATCTTTGAAATATACATTAGGTAATTATATGATATGTACTATACTATAGAAACATACATAAGCATTTAATATGTATTTGAAATCTAAAATCAGCTAACCTATGGCTTGTTAATTATTTCATTTTACCATTAGGTGCTGTTTTGTATTCTTTTTTGGCTTCAATAATATAATGTAGCATTTTGGAGCAAACAAGCAAAACAACAGGCCAAAGCTGGAAGCTAGAATCGCAAACGACTCCACTGCATCCGCATAGTTTCCAGGAGAGCTGACATAAGCAGGAATAAATGCTAGCCAGACAGCACAGAAAATCAGCATGCTGAAAGTAATGAACTTGGCTTCGTTGAAGTTGCCCGGCAAGCGACGGGCAAGGAAAGCCAGTACAAAGCATAGAGAGGCCTGTAGACCAATATATCCCAGAACACACCAGAATGCAATGCTGGACCCCACACTGCACTCCAGTATGATCTTTGAGCGTTCATATTGTGTATTTGGGGATGGAGAAGGTGGATCATCAATGAGCCAGGCAGCACATATAATCACCTGAATTAGCGTGCTGACAAAGATAATGGTTCTCTGTTGTTTGGGCCCCAGCCACTTCATGATGTTGTCCCCTGGCCGGGTGGCAGTGAATGCAGCCAACACCACCAGGGTCTTACCCAGGATGCAGGAGATGCAAAGTGAAAATGTGATGCTAAAGGCGGTGTGGCGCAGCATGCAGGACCAGAATGTCGGTTTCCCAATGAACACCAGGGAACACAGAAAACACAAAGTCAGAGCAAACAGGATGAAGAAGCTGAGTTCAGAGTTGTTTATACGGACAATAACTGTGTTTCTATGATAGAAAAAGACTGCAAATACAGCTATAGTGATGCAGGCCCCCATCATAGAGATCACTGTCAGGGCTATACCCAAGGAATCATAGCCCAAAAACTCCACCTTTTTGGGGATGCAGACTGTTCTGTCATTGTTTGACCAGAAGTCTTCGGGACAAAGGGTGCACTCTATTGAATCTAGGGAAGATGGTAAAAAAAGAAAAGAAAAGTTCAAACATTCAACATTCAAATAATTCAAATACTGATGCTATTAGAATATAGACTTGAATATAGACTACACATATATATATATATATGTATTATAGATAGATTTTATAGACGACTTTCCTTCCTTTACTAGCCCGCAGCAGATTTTGGTTTTATTCTTTTATTGAGAGGCTCTGACCATAACTCATTGGTCCTTTTCATGATTTGTAAAGCTGGGCTTTGAGCTCACTTGTCTGATTGCTAATTTTGCCACTGTCACATGGTACACAGTCAAAGCAGCAAACAGGCTCCCCGCGACGGACAGCCTTCCGGGACCCCGGAAGACAGCTGGCACTGCATATAGACACTGGCACCTGGGGAGTAAAGCACGGCTTTTCAGCTCTGCAGTGTGAATGAAGTCTGCAGAAAATGTATCATATTTATATATATATATAAATGTATTGTATTCCCCCCAAAAGCTAGACTGTAGGTTTCGTTTGAAATGTTCACGTAACACAAAGTGAAACACTTTGTGTTACGTGTACACAAAGTAACACAAAGTGAAACACTTTGTGTTACGTGTACAGAACTTCCAACCAGTACAGAACTTCCAACCAGTTCTGTCCACCTCACTTACCTCCACCTCAACCTACAGAACCTCAACAGTTGGCATCTGATGAAGGTAAAAACACAGTGTGAGCAGCTTGCCTCACTCTGATGAGAGGCCCACATTATCCTGTCCTCCTGGATCACCAGCTCCTCTCCAGCAGGCTTGGTTCCATCGAACAACCCCACGTTGACAAATTCAATGTTCCCGCCTTTTCCTCTTTGCCAGTTGAGGATATCATAATATGGTATGGAGTCTCCCTTGAGGTCAAAGTTTACCTTCTCTTCTGCAATGTTAAATTCTACTTCCTGCAGGTAGTACTGGAGCTGAAAAGGCAATAGGTCATACTCTGAAAGATTAACTGTGATTCACACCACAAAAAACGTGAGAGGACTGAGCTATACCTGCCAGGGGTGAATGTTGTTTCTTTGAGCACATGACTTGTTTTGGAAAGGGCCAGTGCCTAGTTGACAGAGAAGAAGGTTGTGCAGGGAATGAGCAACTGCGTATACAGCTTTATAGACATTATAGGCCACCCTTGGGTTGGATGTATTCATGTAGGCTGAATGTTGCTCCAACAGGGACTCCTGCCCTGAGCATGGAGGCAGCAGGGAGCCAGGCAAAGCAAAAGGATCGCAACCATACAGGGCCTCCCACAGCTCCTTAACCAGCATATTATTGGGATACATCTGAGGGTTAATAGTCTGCAGGTAGAGACTGAGTCTAGAGATGTGTCCTTTTCGGATGCCAAACCCGATGGTGCCCCCTAGGTAGGGGTAGAACTCGCTGGCTGTAAAGACAGATGCTGTCACCCAGGCCTCGCTGGCCACCCACTGGATCCCAGTGATGTTCTGCGTCATGTAGTCCCTCAAAAACGGTGTCATCTCGCCCTCGGCTGAAAATACCACCACCACTTTTGCCGAAGACAAACGCATCACCTTTACAGAGAGATAGAGGATGAAGAAGTTTCACAAGTTAGAGAGAAAGAAGAAAAGAAAGCAGATAAAACTGACATAGGTGCACAACGTAAAATAACTGCTTTTTAGCGTTATTGGCATTATATTCTGGTTACACACTACATCTAATTTCACCAAGGATGTCAAATTTTTATGACAAATTGAAGTTTGGTGGGTGACACAGATTTTTGATCAAGAACTACTATTAAATGATCTTGGGGTAGCGAAAAACTGTGTATTGGTTTTGAAATGACTATTACAGTTTTTTAGGGGTAAATAAAAAACGTGTACTGCTTTTAAACTGTGTATTGCAGCTACCTCCATGATCTGCAGAGCCCTCTTGCGATTGTAGAGCAGAGGGATCATTTCTTGGTAAGCCACACACACTTTGGTACCCTGTAATTCTCTCAGTAACCCTTGCACAGCAAATCGCCCGTACTCATGGTCACCTCGCACCAGCCCCACCCAGGTCCAGTTGAAGCGTACCAGCAGCTGAGCAATGGCTTTCACCTGGGATCAACAGCACACAGCGACAACTCACTCAAACACAGTCAGGAAAAAAACGTTAACTGACATACTTTTAAAATGATTCATCCATTAATTATTTCCCCTCGTATGGCATTAACAAGCAACGGAAATATGTCACAATTTCAAGAAATGCCCTTTTACACTGAAAGAGTATCCTCACTTTAAGCCAAATCCTCACCTGGTAGTCATCATTAGGGATTACTCTGAAGAAGGTGGGATATTGTTTTCTGTCCGTGAAACAGGCACATGAAGAAAAGTAGCTGATCTGTCAGAAAAAATGGCGAGAAAAAAACGATTTCTATGGTGCAATAATAATGTTTTGGGGGTATTAAGAGGAAAAAGGTTATCTTTACCATTGGGATTCTGAATGGCTGCAGGATTCTTGACACCACAATAGACTGAGCAGAACCTGATTCCCCAATCACAGCGAGGAGCGGAGAAGCCCCCTGGCACATGGGGGAGTCACTCTCCCTCAGCCCGTTCAACACAGCCAGAGCAGCCCTCATGCCGGTCAGCGGATAAGCACATGAATCGAATATCTTGTACCCAAGGGTGTAATTTGGCAACAGGTCGGCCCTCAGGTTAATTTCCTCCACTGCCAGCCTCATAGTTTGGGCCCAACGGAAAGCCCTGGGATCAAAGCTGCGGCAGGACACATGTCAATCATGGCATTTATAATGGCAGATATAGGCATATGAACTGTTCAATTGGAATTTGTTCTGAATTGGATCTTTAAATGGATCTTGTAAAAATAAAAGTGGTTTCCTTTTATTTTTTCCACTTTTTATAATCCTTTTTTAAAATGTTTTGTATTATGTGCTACCAAGACATGTCTTTATTAATGCTTTATTTTACCCTTAACTTAATAATTTAATGAGATTTCACATTGAAAGATCCATTTGATACGGAATTTCATTGGAAAATAGAAACATTCAATTGCTAATTCAAATTGATTGATGTGTACCATAAATAGTATTTCTATGAATTCTAAGAATGTATTAAGTAAAATATTAGAAAATCACATATCCTTTAAAAAGACAATGCCGTGACTTTCTCTAAAATAAATCTCTTACTTACAAGCCATCACTTTATACTATATTTTCTCACGTTAGGGAAAAGATCACTCTATAATCTGGAGAATGAAAAATCTTTGAAGCAAAAGTTGCAGAAAATCAGACACAATTTGATGGGATAAAGGTCAGTTAAATACTAAGATTTCTACATCTATCAAACTCACCCATTGCACTTCACTGGCAGTGCTCTGTATGTGGAGTTGAGGTCTGGCATCTCCTGGTTATAGTGGAGGGGGAAGATCCCTCCAATAACATAGTCACCGTCGGCCACAAAGTTTGGCTCAAAGCTGTTATGAAGGGTGCAAACTTTGGCGGCAGATGGTGGTAAAGAGGTAAGACCGGAAATTGGGTTACATCTTACAGTGAGGACACAGAGAGAGAAAAGGAAGGGAAACAACACAAGTAGAGACATATTTTCCATACGTCCCTAAAGAGAGTGAGGGACAGAGAGATAAAGATATCGGGCAAATTATATGCAGTATGTGACGCTCTCATAATTGCATCTCATTAATGTCAAAGTGACACTGATTGGATGTCAGCAGCCCCGCCTGATTTACCCTTCTTCACTCTGTGGCTTTATTGGCCTCTGCTCCAAAAATGGCATTCCCATGATAAAAAGGGCCCTTTCTCTGCAGCTACTTTGTCTACTTGGATTTTTTTTTTTCTCGATAAAGGGGAACACCCGTGAGTGTGTTCTGATATGTAAATATCAGTATATATGTTAATAGTTAAGAACTAAATGAAGATGGCACACAGAATTTATTTTTTATTTTTCATATTTGTCTGATAAAAAGCGCGCGTAGAGCAGAGGATAATGCTCAACTGTGACGCTGTACTTCCAAATTCCGTCCATGGCCCCGCTACACTGATCAAAACACAGAAGGGAATGTTTGTGAGTCACACAAGATGGCTGTTGGACAAATGTCGGTCAAAAATTACGAAAAAGATAAGGAGTTTTTATGATTAAATGATTTGGATGCTTTGTGTTTGTTTTTCCATAACTGTGAGAAGTGTCTGTGAGAAATGTTACGGATATCGCCGTAATCAGGGTGGAATGCGCTTGCTGTTTGCTTTCTACCTTCGATCGATATGTAAATGTAAATAAATGATGAAAAAGGATATTGAAAAAAGCGAACTAATTTTCAACTTACTTACCTCTCAACTAATTCAGTATAATGTCATAATTTATGTTGTATGATTTTAGTGTATAGCTTTTTTAATGTATAGGTGTTTTTAGTCTATAGTTTTCTTTTTCATATTTGATGATAATGCTACCAACTTTTGGGATGTATTGATTCAGTCGAGATTAAACCATTTGATCAGTGTTGATTCAAATCTAGGCCATTTTTAAAGAATGTGGAGATTGTGGCAATATTGAATCATATTGCCTCACACTGAGTTATTCCAAATAATGTGTTCACTACTACAGACAAACTTTGTCCACCAATCCCCAAGCAAGCTCGTCTTTGATTGTGTTTGTATTTTTTAAGGACAGGCTCTCAATGCTCATCTGGGGGAGGAGTGTCCTGTTTTTTTTACCTCAAGTGTGAAGTGGATGAGAGTCAGTATACCTCCAAATCTGAGACGTCTCTGCTGGGAAATGATGGATTGTGTTTCCCCAGGTTGAGTGAGTCTCTGACCCGTGCAGGGGGGTTCAATTCCTTTGGGTAATAACTACATAACATGTAAGGGGCAGCCACGCTGGCTAACTTCACACAGCCCACAGCGGTTGCATTTCCCTCTTTCAGAATATTCCTTTGGCCTTTTGAAACGGCGGCCGAGGGCATCAGGAGAGGGAGATGCTCCCGTTTGGCTGAAAACACTGATGTTCTTTTTAAAATTCTGAATATTACATTTTATTTTTTTCACCCAAATATGAGTATTTTACATTCTTCACATACAAATATTTTATTTCGGTAATCAACAGTTCCCTCTTTGGAATGTCACAGTACTTAAATACACACAGTGAAAATGTTAAATCATCAAACAATAAACAATTCATGATTTCACATCATTGAATCATTTTTTTAACCAAAAATACAACTATTCAATTTCTAGTGACTTATGCATTTATTAATCAAGTAATTCAGTTAAACCAAGTAATCACTTCCTTCAATGATATATAGACTTAAACTAACAGTGGTGCCGGTAACTTCCGTTGTGTAGGTGAGTGCATGTATATAAAGTGCATGAATGGAAAGTATTTATGCAGTGTTGAACAAACCATAACCATTAACTAAACACAAAATAGTGTCTCAGGAAGGAACCACCCGAACACAAGGGGGCTTTAAACACACAGCCCTGGCACAAAGGGCCCATGTGCTGCCAGCGCCACGGATGTTCTCAGGTGGATCCAATGCCCTGACGACCCTCGGCCGCGCCCCCCTCCACACTTGCAGGGGTTGTCACACCTGCATATTATCATGTGACATATATGAAATATTAGACCTTTTGATCAGCACATAACATCACATTAAAGGAAGTAACATTGGCATCTTCAAAAATTAAGAAATCCTATTTTCTGAAAGAGTTTTTACCTTGATATGTTTCTTGGTATTTTTCTCTGGCTTGACCAATATTATGTAACATTTTGGTGCAAAGATGCAAGTAAATAAGCCAAATGTTGAAGACAAAATTGCAAATATTTCCAAAGCTACAGTGAACTTTCCAGGAGAGCTGACATATGCTGGGATAAAGGTGATCCAGACAGCACAGCATATCAGCATGCTGAATGTGATTAATTTGGCTTCATTAAAGTTATCAGGCAACTTTCTTGCTAGGAATGCCAGGACTAAACATATTAATGCAAGGATCCCTATGTACCCCAGCGCTGCATAAAAAGCAGCCTCAGAGCCTGTATTACATCCTAGAACAATCTTCTTATTGCTCTGTTTGGAAACCATATCTGGGAAAGGTGGATTTAACTTCAGCCACAACACACATATCACTATCTGAATCAATGTACAAGAGCAAACCATAATCCTTTGCTGTGCAAGGCCAAACTTTCCAGCAAATGTGTTGCCACGATATGTGGCTTTGAAAGCGGTAACGACAACAATAGTTTTTCCCAAGACACAGGAAATACAAAGTGCAAATGTCACACCAAAAGCAGTGTGGCGCAGCATGCACGTACACACTGTAGGTCTGCCGATGAAAGTGAGGGGACAAAGAAAACACAAAAAAAGAGAAAGCAACAAGAAACAGCTCAGCTCAGAGTTGCTGGCCTTTATCACAGGAGTCTCTCTATAATAGATAAAGATGATCATGGTGGCCAGCGACAGCGAGGCCCCTAGAAGGGACAAAACTGTTATAGCTATTCCCATCGGCTCGTGATATGTCAGGAACTCAATTCTTTTTGGAATGCACTCATCTCTGACCTCATTGGACCAGTATTCCTGTGGACAGCGTGCGCAGTCGGCTGCACCTGTTAAGCATGAACAGAAAAGATTGGTGCAGTGATACTGACATTGACTTCTGTGTATAAAATATATGCAAAAACAGAGTACATGCTGTGTTATGAGATTATGTATGTTTTTAACTTTGGCAATCATGCTTTTGATACCTGTTGTGTTGGCTATAGTTCCATCAGCACATAGGATACAGTCAAAACAACAACTGGGTTTTCCCTTTTGGTGAGCTCGCCTTGTTCCTACTGGACACACATTAGAGCACATCGACGTCGGGACCTGACAAAAAAAGGTTTATAAATATATATATATATATTGTCCTGATCTACTGATTTTATATTCCAGAAAAAATGATAATCTTATTGGATGAATAAAGTTTTCTTTACCGTTTTTCCTGTCCTCCACACAATTTTTTCCTTCTGTATCCTGAGCTCATATGTTTTGTGAGCAGCAGAGGCAAAAGTACCCACTGTGACATGTTGCACCTGCCCATCTATAAGTTGCCAGTTAATAATATCATAAAAGGCAGGGGGGTCACCGTTGACATCAAAAAACACATTATCCCCAAACTGATTCTTAAAATTCACCCGTTGTAAGTGATCAGTGACCTGAGAAAAAGAAGATTATTTATCACCCATTTTCATGTTAACAAGATAACTATACAAATATTCTTAAGCAGTTAAGCATTATTTCTCACCTCTTTGGGCTGAATTTCTGATAAATTCAAACATGACCTCACTGTGTTTTCTCCAACTGGTTGACAGAATAACAGCTGATGTAGGGCATGTGCAATCGCATAAACGGCTTTATGCACGTTGTAGGACACTCTGAGTTGTGTGACATTGAAGAAATCGTCCTGGGAATTCAATAATGTCTCATAGCCTGTGCATTTTTCCTTGGTCGCCTCAGTCCCTGTTTGGTCCCCAGGTAAGAGAGGATGACAGCCGACCATAAGTTCCCAGAAATCCCTCACAAAGGCTGTGCTTGGATCAGTATAAGGGCTAATGCCTCTTAGAAACTGTTCTAGATTTGGAATAGCCATCTTCTGCACCACAAATCCTAGGGCTCCCCCAAACACTTGATACATATCGGGTGTTGAGGGTCGATCTGCTGTTATCCAGGCCTCGCTGGCAATCCACTGAATTCCTGTAATGTTTTGTTTCACAACCTCCTTCATCAAAGGGTAAAAGTCACCCTCTGGAACAAAAGCAAGAATGACTTTGACAGTTGACAGCTTGATCATTTCCACAACATCCAGAATTTTATCCATCGTATATGTCCGTAGGACTGTGCCGACAAATGCTATACAAACCCCAAGCTTCTTAACCTCCTCAGTAAAAGCCTGAATCCCACCTCGCCCGTAGTCATTGTCTGACTGTATAACCCCGATCCACTGCCAGCCAAAATGTTCTACAAGTGCTGCCAGAGCTTTTGCCTGGAAATAGTCGCTGGGGATTGTCCGAAAAAATGTTGGATATTTTGCTCGGTTACTCAGACAGGCACACGTTGAGAAGTAACTAACCTGCGAAAAGAACACGAAAAAGTGTCACATTCTACATAAAAATAAAATATGGTAAACACTAATGCAGTCAAACATCTCATTTAATTTCTTACTATGGGCACATGAAATGGTCCAACAGTTCCAGCCGCTGCTAAAGACTGAGACGATCCTGATTCTGCTACGAGGGCAGATATCGGTGGAGGACAAGGCAAATTGAATTGTCTCTCCTCTGGTCCACTAACCAGCGTAAGTGCAGCACGTAGAGTATTTATGGGTGATGCACAAGAGTTAAGGATCCTATAGCCAAGGGAAATGTTTGGCAGGAATAAAGGGTCGTTGTTGATTTCTTCAATTGCAAATATCATCACTTGGGTCCATCGAAAGGCACGCAGGTCAAATCTGAAAAGGTTTTGGAGATTTAAATAGGTTCAAATGACAGAGCTTCAGATGTGCAGTACATGAACGTGCAATGGCAAGCTTGTAAGATGAGGAGCCCGTATAGAGTAAGGCAGACATGATAAAACTTACCCTGCACACTTCACCCTCGGCGCCTCTCTCTCGAAGGTAGGAGTGCCACTTATTTCTTTGTTGAAAACCGGGAAAATTCCCCCTATCATTACGTCTCCCTGCTTGAACAAACTAGGCGTGTCAAACTTCTTGAGCAGCTCACAACCAGAAACTGTGTGCGGCCAAAGGACAAAGAGTGACAAGACAATAACTCGGTGCAGCTCGTGCATATTTGAATGGAAATGAGGACACGACTCTTACTTCAACATTGTTGGGTGCAGGTTGATAGGCTCCCTTCATAAAATGTTGATTTATATCCCACAGGCCACAGTAGTCTCAGATGGGTAGCATTAATACATCAGGGAAGGGGGATTGTTATGTTCAGGACAAAAAGTACACTTCGTTAACATGTACAGATACACAGTAGAACACTTTTTATTACATTACATTACGTGTCATTTAGCTCATGCTTTTATCCAAGGCGACTTACAATAAGTACATTTCAACTACACTGTAAAATGTAATTGTTGACCTTACTTAAAAAAATGAATGATCCTAACTAATTTCTGCTTAATTTGTTTACCATACTGAATGAAACTTAGTAAAGTACACTTTCTGCTCCGGAAAGTTACGAAACTTGATGATGATTTCAAGTAACGTTTACTTAAAAAAATGAGTGTCGAAGAACTTTCCCCAAAACCCGGAAATACTCGCTTGCACTCGGCTCTAATACGCATGCGCACTGACCACCGAAGACGTGATTTCCTTTGAGGCGGCTGCTGGAAGCGGAAAGGAAGCGCTGCTTGGTCCAGAAGGTAAGTTTTAGCTAACGTTACATGATAAAATGTTACCGTTTACTGGCACCGTTCTACCTAGCAAAGTTACTCGTCCATTTTCCATATTATTCACGTGTTAGTCAACGTTAGTTTTGCGGGGATTGTAGGATATTAGAAACAAATATACGACCCGGTTCATAAAATTAATAAAAATGCCAGAATAGTGTAAACCAGAATACAGCCATGATTCTGAAACTGTGTAATCAATAAAGTAATGACAATATTGTAAAACCACTGTAATTCTGCAACTGTAATAGAATAATACCAATGTAGTTATGATTGTATTCAATGTAATGTAATCAGCTGGAATGCATGCATGTAATACTTGAACAACAACTGATATTGACTTAGGGTCATTCGAAATCCAAGTTACATTGAACTCGCCAGAAGACCACTCCCAGAGGTGTGGACACTAACTTTCACACCTTTAAGCATTGGTATAAATACCTGTAGGAATCATTGTTCTCAAGCTGGTGGAGACGACAAACGGGCACTAGGGATGGTCAAAAGAACTGACCTGGGGCCTGTTGGTTGCTGAGACCAGCGGCTCCTCACCATCTCTTTTATTAAATACATTTGATTTAACCTTTTGATCTGCGATGACCTCTGTCCGTTCGGCGTTTCTTCATTTTTGAATACAACAGGGGTTAACTTTATCTCTTCGATTTTCAAAGCTAACGTTAGCCGTTAACATTTAAGCTAATGTTAGCTTGACCGTCAGTGTGGAACCTTCTAGAATAAATGTAACGTTAAATATGACAACAACTTGCGTTTCATAAAACTCGGAATGCTTATTAGCAGGTTCAATGATAACTTACGTTATGTCAATCTTTCAGCGCCACTTTTGAATTCGGTAAGAAGGTATTTTGTTAGCTTTTTTATTGTTTATCTCCTACTGTTTTCTACGGTGCAGCAAAACGTGACTTCAAAGGAGCGACCTCATCGGGAAACATACTCCCGTTTATCAATTTAACGTTGGTAACGTTAACTTGCACTGCACTTTCTACGACGTCACGTTTCACTTAGCGCTATCACATTCGATGTTAACGTTAGTTAACCGAAACAGGTATTAACTTATTTAACAGATGGCTAGTTAGCTGTTAACGTGCATCTGCATGGGTTATTTGAAGTTTGACTGATTGCTTTTGTTGTTTCTTTTGCAGCTTTGCAGAACACATGTAAATGGAAGTGTTGGCCAGCAACTTCAGGAATATCTGCAACAAGTCACTACAGCAGTAAGTTTCTCAAGCAAAGTAATAATAATCATGGAGTGACCAAAGTAATGCCACCGCATGCATAGCTGTCAATCTTAGTAGTTATGTGTGTTTGAATTTTTTTCAGAGTGCAGATGTTACTGGGATGCAAACAGCAGTCCTCCGTGGCCTTCCTGTCATCTTGGAGATGAGAACACAGACTTCTTTTAGACATGCTTTGTAAGTAGACTTTACTAAAAATTATTATTTATATGTGTTTGCAATGTCAAGATATTTTAAAAGTTTGAGCAAAATGTCCACATTTGAAAACATGTCATTTTTATTGTTTTAATTTTTAATCACGTTTTAGATTAAGAAAATGTGTGAGGAACTTCCGTAGAAATAAACTTTGTCTTCCATTATAACTGTTCTCTGTCTTTGTTTCCGAAGCTTACAGTTTCTAGTTCAGCTTACTTGAAAGTTTTAAGGCAATCGGTTTCCTGATTATTTCTTAGTAAAGGGAATAGTTGGATTAGTAAAGTTAACTTTTTCTTATTAGTACTGCTTACTTAATATTACTCAGATCTTTAAGTTGTCTGAACTGACTTATTTATTGTCAACATAATTAATCATTTTAAGTTAACTATACTAATGTTTACTGCAGTTGTATGAGTTGCCTAAACTCAGTTATTTTCAGTATTAACAACTTAACAATTGAGCGAAATTTTGAGGCAATCGGTTTCCTGACTTTTTTAAAGTAAAGTCAACTTATTACATTTTACAGTGTATAGGGATACAAACTCAAAAAAAGAAGAAACAAGGCAATTTCATCAAACAACCCGATTACAACTTGCTATAGATCAGAGCCATTATAAGTACAATAAAGTGCTACAATTTTAGTGTTTTTTAGTCAAGGTAGAGTCAAGTCAAGAGGCATATCTTTAGTTTGCGGCGGAAGATGTGAAGGCTCTCTGCGGTCCTGGTGTCTTCAGAGAGCTTGTTCCACTATTTCGGAGCAAGGACAGCAAAGAGTCGTGATCTAGTCGAGTGTTTTGCTCTCAGTGAGGGAGGAACGAGCAGTTTGGCAGATGTAGAGTGGAGAGTGCGGGTCGGGATGTAGGGTTTGACCAGGATGTCCTGGATGTAAGCTGGACCCGATCCATTCACAACATGGTACGTGAGCACCAATGTATTGAACTGGATGCGGGCAGCCACTGGTAGCCAGTGAAGAGAGCGGAGGAGTGGAGTAGTGTGGGAAAATTAAGGGAGGTTAAAGACCAGTCGGGCTGCTGCATTCTGCAGAGGTCGAATGGCGGTAGCGGGTAACAAAAGTCAAGGCGGGAGATGACAAGAGCCTGAATCAGTACCTGCTTGTTATCGGCGAGTTAGCTTGTTATCGTGTTAGCTTGTTGTGGCTGCAAACAGCTATTCGCCACTGGGCGATCCGAACAGCTGTTCGCCTCTGGCTCGCTCGCAACTGGCAGAGAGTTAGCTTGTTAGCTAGTTAGCGTGTTAGCTCTGTTGTGGCTGAGAGTCTCCACCAGAGACTCGACAGACTTCGCAATAAATCGTTTTCTGATCTAACTTACGTGGGATTTTCCAAAACCAAAAACCCTCCAAACAGACACCTCCTCTCTTGGACACAAGTTGTGTTGGTGCATCTCTGGTCTCTCGTTTGTTTCTCCTTGTGACAGGTTCGTCCTACGGGGGGGTCTCGGAATGACGAGAATGCAGCGGTCTGTTTCTACCTTTAAGTAGGAGAAAGCCGGCGACAGCGGGAAACCCTGCCCGCCACCACACTCCTGTATCGCTCTTTTGCTGTTTTCATGTAGCAACGGAGTTAACGTTACTTCTTGCTGTGAGTTTTACCCAGCATGTAGTTCGGCGGGGTAAATTTGTACATGTGATTAGTGTTAAAAAATGGTTTATGTGTCAGAAGCTGTTGTGTCGTGATGTTTTTCCACGTGAAAGAGTGTTTGTTGTGGGTTATCCATTGTTGTTCTAAAGTTATAACCATGACTCAATCTCAACACACTTAAGAGAAGTAGCTCCGAGCTCGCCGCACCGCGATGACGTGTAAAAATAAATTCTGGCGCCTGCCAAAGAGCAATGTCAGTTGTTACGGCGTAACACCAGTACGAACAGTATGAGGGAAATTCATACCGTACGGAATTCTTCTATCGATGAACCGAGATACCGTGCAGCTCTACTGACAAGGGCTTGTTTGTATACCTCTGGGAAAGGTTTTGGAAGTTTAGGATAGTGTGATAGTGTCAGGGTAGAATGCAAACAGTGTATGGTCTATGAAAAGTTCAAGTCACGTAGGACCCTACACACACAACATATGAAGGCCTGCATATAATAACAGTGATACATTTAGCAGGGTTCTAGTTACAACTAGAAAAGGCATTTCCTGCTGAAAATGCGTTGGAATGCAAAAAGCTGAAAGCTGAAATGTACTTCAGAAAATTGCTGAAATTACAGAAAGTTAAAGGGAATTTTAATACATTTGCTGAAATTACAGATATTAGAAAAGCTGAAATTAATTTGAAATTGCTCAAAATACAGAAATGGGAGAAGCTGAAAGGAATTGCTGAAAAAGCAGAAATGAAAACAACTGAAATTACATTACAACAGGTCATTTAGCTGACTCTTTTATCGAAAGCGACTTACATTACACTTTTAATCCATGGCTCTTACATTTTGCCCGGGGAGCACTTAGGGGTTAGGTGTCTTGCTCAGGGACACTTTGACATGGGACATGGAGCAGCTGAGACTCGAACCACCAACCTTGTGCGACGACGACCCCGAAATGAATGTGAAATATTGCAAAAAAACACAGAAATGAATATTAAAACATTGCTGTTAATACAGGCATAAGAAAAGCTGCTGAAAATACAGAAATGGGAGTAGCTGAATTTCAATAGATTTTCTAAAAAATACAGTTGCAGGAGCTTAAATGAATTAAAAAGAATACAGAAATAACAAAAGCTGAGACTAATAAAAAGAGGTTCTAAATTGTAGTAATATTAGTAGTAGTATTAGTTATAGTTGTAATTGTGGTATTCGTAGTACTAGCAGTAAAATTAATAATAGTAAGGTTAGTATCAATAGCAGTAGAAACAGCCGTAATACTAATATTATTAGTCATAGTAGTATTTGTTGTAACATTAGTAGTATTAATACCTGTTGAAATACTCGTAATAGTGTTAGTTATGGTAGTAGAAGTATCAGTTGTAGTAGTACTACTAGAAGTACTAGTAATATTCGTAAGGGTTGTAGTAGTATTTGAAAGAGCAATACGTATTTCAACGAAACCACTTCATTCTGAGCTTCATGGTTAAGGTACAGATAATCATTGAAGCTTTTATTTTTAAATTATGGAATTGGGTGAGGGGTGGGGTTGGGAGGCAGGATGTTTTTTATTCAAACAAAAAAATTATTAATTGGTAGGCCTCATCACTAACAGTACAGTAAGAATTCCCTCCATGGGGCTTTTATTTTGAAATTATTGGATTGGGTGTGGGGGGGGGGGTAGATAGAGGGAGGGGTGGTGAGGAAGACATAGAGAGAGGGGAGAAAGAGAAACAGAGAGACAAAGTGAGTGTTTGAAAGAGTGACATATAAATATTGTGCTTTTTTGTTCATATGATAATGCTAAATGCAGCAAAACTGCGCAGGATTTTAGAACGTACAACATTTTACAAACGGCGCCCCATGTTACGGAGACACGAAGCGGAGATAAGACACTCCCCCTTCCAGGCACGAATGAAGCGAAATAATTCGCTTTTGGTGTGAACGCACCATAACAATAAACAGTTTTCTTCTAGAACATAAGTATATACATCCCTGGTCTTTTCAAAGAAGGGTGAACGGTTTCATTGAACACGATATACCTTTTTAGCACAATTCTCATTTTGAATTTTTTTTTAATGAGTTGTTGTCTGCGTTACACTCACTCAAACATCGCCCCTAGTGGTGCAAGGTACGGTGGCCCAGAAGTGCAAAACACAACAGCAAATAGGAAAAAACAACGAAATTAACTTCTTACGGAAAGGGTAGGGCCTTATAGCAGACCCTTCTGATTGTCTTTTAACAGGAAATGATACAGGGCTCTCAAGTGTCATGCATTGAGCGTAACAGTCACGCATTTCAGTCTCTTCTCACGCACTCCCGCCACACATCCATTTCTTCACGCCATGGAATCGGACTCTGGTCCCTGAGCTGTGTCGGCCCTAGCGTCCGCGGCGTCCACCGGCCGTAGCCGTACCCCATTTATTTACTTTTATTTCCAACACCTAAATATAATTGAACAACAACAATAAGGTAAAACAATGGTGAAACACTAGTAGGACACTTCCACCCCTCATCACAGGCTCTCCCGCCACTGATTTCTTGATAGCCATAATATCTAGTAAGAGGCAAGTCATTTATTCAACTCCTCACAACAAGTAGAAAAAAACAAAAACTGCAGTGTCTTACTTTTCTATAATGTCTTAATAAGCCGTAACACAATTGAATTTGTTGTTACACCAACCCCATCAAGTTTGCTGGACACTTTGTAATTATAGATTAAAGATTTCTTGGTGGTATTTTGCCCATCAAATGTTTTTTTGAGTTTTGTTCTGGCCTGAAAATAATAATATAACATTTTGGGAAGAAAATACATCCAAGCAAAGCAAAACTAGAGGCCAAAATGGCAAATATCTCCACAGCCACAGTGAACTTCCCAGGAGAGCTGACATAAGCTGGGATAAATGTGATCCACACTGCACAGAATATTAGCATGCTGAAGGTGATGAGTTTGGCTTCATTAAAGCTGTCTGGTAGCTTTCTAGCAAGAAAGGCAAGAATAAAACACAAGAGAGCCAGAAGTCCGATGTAACCCAACACAGCCCAGAACCCTACAACTGAACCCAGAGCACATTCTAAGATGATCTTTTCTTTATAGTAACTCATGTTCTTCTTAGGGAAAGGGGGGTTGATTGTCAGCCAAAGAATACAAATGATAACTTGAATGAGAGTGAAACACAGAACACTGAGTCTCTGCTGTGCAGGCCCAAACCATTTCATCACATTACTAGCTGGCAGTGTGGCCCTGAAGGCCATTAGCACCACTAGAGTTTTCCCCAGAACACAAGAGATACAGAGGACAAAAGTGATGCCAAATGCTGTGTGTCGCAGCATGCAGGACCACTGTGTGGGCCTTCCTATGAAGGTCAGAGAGCACAGGAAACACAGTTTTAATGAGAACAGCAGCAGGAAGCTCAGCTCAGAGTTGTTTGCTTTTACAATAGGAGTCTCATTATGAGTGAAAAAAATGATTGATGTCAGAAGAGATAAAAATACGCCAATACAGCCAAATGCAGCTAAAAGTATTCCCATGATCTCTTCATAGGAAAGGTATTCAGTCTTTTTTAAGAGGCACTTGTCTTTCTTTTCATTTGGCCAAAATTCAGGTGGACAGATCAAACAGTCTGGAGAATCTGTAAAATAAATGAATCATACAAAAATAGGATCATCATCCAAAATAATATCATCTCAAAATTGTGTTATTATCGAACTTTAAAGATGTATTCTTAAAACAATACATGATTAGCTCTGATTTTGTAATCTGTTACTCACTTGTTTGATTACTGATTGTTCCCTCAGGACACTGAAAGCATTCAAAGCAGCACACGAGCTTGAGCTTGTTTATGGCTTTACGGGTCCCAGGTGGGCATGGTTCTGTGCAGACAGATCTTACCACCTAAAAAGGCAAAACACATGATACAAATGGTTGTATGTCGGCCATGTTCATAAAGTTTCAAAGGGATTGATTTCAAGACTTCATTTTACATGTTGAATGTGTGTGGTTTCTGATGACCACAGGGGCAGCTGACCGGAATGCTCTTGAAGACATCACCTATGGTGGTCATAGAGTACTCTCACCAGCTGCCCCTGTGGAACTCAGTCTCTGCACCTACGAGGCACGCTGGGTGGAAATATAGCGTCTCCACCCGAGATCCTAAGCTACACATTCAACCTGCAGTTGGACTTACCTTATCACTGTCTCCTCCCCAAACTATTTTGGTGTTGTCTTTTATTTTGAATTTTTCCCCATCTGGGTAAGAAGTATCGTATTGACCAACGTTGACGATCTCAACAGAACCATCTTCTTTCATCTGCCAGTTAACTAAGTCATACTGGGCAATTGATTCTCCATTTTCATCAAATGAAACTTTGGCCCCATCCTGTGTCGTGAAGTTCACATATTTAATGTGTTCCAGCACCTGTAGAGTGACATTCAGCACAATCTAGCAGATATACAACTCACACACATAAGTAAAACATTTAAGACATTAGTATCTAAATGATACCCTAAATGATTACATACGAATGTATTGCCTTACATTAATCACAGAAATAAAAGAATCACTAAACACTAAAGTAAGCTCTGCCTGAATAAATACACCATAACTTACTAGTTCAGGCCGAACTTCGTTCTTGTTCACACAGGGTTTTCCTGTTGTGGGATTTGAGCCATTTTTACATTGCAATAGTGCATGAAGGGAGTATGCCAGCAAGTACACAGCTTTGTACACATTATTCTCAGCCCTGAATTGTGTAATAGCTGTGTATCCACTGGAGACTGTGCTGAGATCCTCTGTGCCAGTGCACACAGCAGTTGTGTTTGATGGAGAGAAGCTGCACTCAAAGAAATTCTCCCAGAAAGCATTAATTATAGTACTCTGTGGTTCATCCGTGGGTTTCAGGCTGAGTAGGTATTCCCCAAGACCTGGTATGTTCGCCAGGGGGAGGGCAAGGCCCATTGCCCCCTGTAAAATTGACCTTGTACCAACAGAAGTCAGGCTTTCTTGTGTGATCCAAGCCTCACCGCCAATCCACTGCTTTCCTGTGATTTTATATTCTTCAATATTGGACAGGAACGATTTGGTGTTGAACAATGACATAAACAAAAGGACTACTTTTGAAGAGCACTCTCTTAGAGTATTGACAATGGTATTCACCATGAATTGTTTTGCCGCAACATAAGGTAATGTGTATTCAACACATATACCCTCCTTCTTTGCTTCCATGTTGAATTTAGCTATACCTTCTTTTGAGTACAATTCATTCGAGTGTATAATTCCCACCCAGAGCCAGTCAAAATGTTTCATAAGCTGCACAAGGCCGAGGATTTGGAAGTGATCACTAGGCACAGTTCTAAAGAATGTGGGGTATAGTCTTCTGTTGCTCAAACAAGAACAGGTTGAAAGATGGCTTATCTTTAAAGAAAAAAAACATAGTTGAAAACAATACATGTACTTTCAACAATGCAATTTCAAATATACATATAATACAATGCAAATCAGACAGTTTGCAATTCTTGTCA